CCCAGACCTCCTTCAACTGACCTTATAAAGAATCACAGTTCCGTCGGAAATTGAGCACTGTTTGAGATTACCAGCGCAACACAGATATTTATTGTTGCCCTGGAATTGTCCATTCATTTAGTCAGGTGATGTAATAATTGCCGCCTTTATTTAAACGTTTCTGAGTTGCTCGATCTTCGTTAGCCAATGCTCTTCGTCGTCTGTTTCAGGAAGATAGTGCAGATGGTGAAGAATCAGCAAACATGACTTTGTTAAATGGGCACAATGTGACGGACATTGAGACTGCTTTGGAGTATTACTGTCGTCATTTTCGCGAAAGTAATTTTTAATTTTGCGGATTCACCACGTTCGTCCGTTTTTCGCATCCTCTTTGTTCGTTTTCACGGGCCAACCATTGTCACTGTTTGTAGTTATTAATCAGAGGCTTTTGCAGTAACTGCGCCTGTCTCTTTTCATGATTAAAAGGCAGCAGTCTTGACGTTCTTCGTGGAGTGATTGTACCTGCTCCCTCTAGGGGCCGTTTGGTCGTGCGGAGAATTCATAAATATTCCTTCTTTAGACCGCGAAGATGTAGGTTAAGCCAGAGGTTGCGCAGCATTCTGGTTGTTAAATTCCTTTTCATATTATTTTTCTTACGGCCTCGTAGACAAAGTTGCATTTCGTTGTATAACTGCGTGACCCTCATTTGCTTACCTTTTGGTGTCGGGCGTGTAGTAATTCGTGCCGTACAACACTTGAGAAACAATATGGCTTTAATATTTCCTGGACGGCTGTAAAAGTTTCGATTTCAATGATGAGTGCTATAGATAAATGTGATCATATAGCGGAGCAATTATACGTCATGTATTTGGTGCCTCGCGTAATTGAGCTATTGAAAATTGGAGCAACTTTGAAAATCCGCCGCAATACCACTCATATTTTGGGTTCAGTCTTATCACTTTGCTCAATTTACACTGGGACTATCGCCAGTTCTGGAGTTGTGCCTATCCTGATCAACTGGTTATGGTAAGTGTGTATGTACACTTGTGCTTACGTTTTCTTGCCCGATATTAGCCAAACTTTTCATAAGCATAGCCTTGCATCTTAGCAACACAGTTTTTTTTTTCTTTTTATTCTAGACAGTTCGTTTAGATCGCATTGATTTGAGTAATGTGGGTGAGCTGCTTCTGGCTTGCTTTCCTGCACACGTTTTTTTTTCTTGAGCATGATATTGCAAAAATACTTTGATTGTTCGGGCCTGCGCCTAAAGTCTAGTGCCTGCGATACAACACTAATTTTACTTCCAAATTTCTTCGCTTTTCGTCTCATTAGCAATGAGATGCAGTGAAGTTCCAGCAGTTCTGTTGAATTTTGCGGATTTTAACAAATGGCAGACTGGCTTGGTCCTATTTGCTGCTGATGATTTGTCAAGAAAATTGCTTTGAACACTTGGTTTGGCTTCTTCAAATTGTCGGTTTTTCGGTGGAACCAGCAAAGCAGAAGTATTGGACTTATTGTTTTCCCTGATTTTCGACTTCAGCATTCTAAAAGTTTGCTTTTTTAAGTGATCCCGACCGTGAACTGCGTGAGTCGGCATTGTTTGCTCTGGGAAATCTGGCTGCCGAGAATTGTAACTGCAGAGATCTGTGTATTAAACATGGCATGCCTCAGAAATTAGTGCTAATAGCAAATAAGTTAGTTTTTTTTTATAAAAATTTAAGGTTTTTCGTAATGAACTGACAAAACGAAAAAAAAAGGAAAGCTCCGAGATGAGGGCTGGATGTGACTAAAGTTCGAAAACCGTGGATACATTAAACAAATTGGCAACTACTGAAACTCAGCTCGGCCGGCGCTATACACGATTTGCAAACGATTTTTTCGGGTCTCGTTACTCCACTGTCACGAGGGACGCTGGTGCCGCGGATTGGATAGTGGTGAGGAGAGGGGAGTTGTAGGACGCACGAATTGGAGACAAGGAAGGGGTTTGCTTCTGTGGATTGGGTGAATACGCGATGTAGATCCTTGAGCATTTGCCTAGGCCACGTAAAGGAGTGGGGAGGGGATGATGGGTGGAAAAGAGCAGGGAGTGTGCTGGTTTTTGCTACAGGATGGAAGTTGTCTTGCAGAGGAGGTTTCAGAATAGGGTAAAGAAAGGGGAGGACGGAAGTCAAAAGCTTGAGGCAAGAACTGCAAACAGAAGTAAAGAGACAGAAAAAGCAGAGCACTACAAAAAAAAGATAAAACAAGCCTGGGCGCGGGAATAAAAGCAAAGTAAGAAGAAAAGTGTAGACTTAAAGCAAAGCAAAAGCAGGCAAAAAAAAACTCAGTATGTGCCAGTGGGAATTGTTCTATAAAAACCTGTCATCAGTAGGGGAATTCTCTATTTATGGAGCGAATGCTTAGGTAAAACTGAGAGCCGACAAGGTAAAGCTGCGTAGGTAAACCTGAGAGCTGTCAGCTTTACCGAAGCATCAGCTTCATAAATATGGAGGCCCACTTCTGCAGAAAAGCTTTAAACAGAAGAAGAATACTTCATCAGTAAAGGACTTACCCATTTATGAAGCTAATGTTTAAATAAAGCTATGAGCTGTTAGCTTACCTAAGTATCAGCTTCATAAGTGGGGAAGCCCAGTATTGCAGGCGGACTTTTAAGGCAATTCTCACCAATAGGGTTTAGTTTTGCTAAGTTTTAATTTTTTTTTTTTTTTGCTTCTGCTTTCTCAGTTTTTATTTACTTTTGCTTTTTCCTTCTTTTATTCATAGGTTCCGATTCTTTGATTTCGCTTTTTTCCATTTTTTCCCCCATAATTTCAAGCTTTCTTTAATTTATTTTTATTGTACTGCTCTGTTGTCCCTCCCTCTTTACTGCTGTTCCCAGTTCAAACTCCTGACTAATACTCTTGTCCTCCTCTATCCTGCCTTCAAATCCTGCCTCCATAGCAGCGTTCTGACGTGCATCTCCCACCACTTCCCAACCACTGTCACCATTAATCATTCCGTATTCTT